CATTTCGTGGATACACTTTCACGAAGAACCTATTTCTGGGATACCGCAGTCCCATGTGGATCAGAAAATAGCCACAATGTAGTACAACTAAACCCTGATGAAAATAAATATTATCTTCTCACTCCATACCCCACATTAATGCAACCACTCAAAAAATTTTCACCAGAAAGCATTCGCGCTATTGCCCGAAACCCAAATATAGACTTACAATCAATAGGAATATACTCAAAATCAGATATTCAACATCACATTAGAACACAACAATTCCAAGAATTGTTAACACAAATGGACACTATACAAAGACAATCAATTGACCAAAATCTACGCAAACTTGCAGAAACCGCAGGTTTTGCCGATATCTACACACAAGACTATAGCGGATATTTTAAAGACATTAAAGATTATATATATCTAAACGGCGAAAAATACCGTCCCCAAGATATATCACCAATCAACATTTTTAGTTTTGTTAAACTCAAGAATGAAATCCTTGATTTTCTAGGATGGCCCTACTACGTCTTAGAAAAATTGACTATTTTATACGCAATGTTTAACTTTATTGGATTTCTTTTCTCACTTTTGAAAGGAATCTACAACACATGTGCTATACACACACAAGTAAACAGACAAGCAAGCGTAGCACGCATACTCTTTGCAGGATTTTTCGGAATTTTTTCCACATCTATAAACAAAATTCTTTTAGACGCACAAATAAAAGAATACAACACAAAAATAGCAACAAGACAGAACACATACGACGAAGAACATAACAATGTAGACACAACACCAACAGCACCACAGTTACCACCCCTACCACATAACCACCCATTATCCCTAGTCCCACGTAATTTTCGAAATTTAGCCATAACACATAATCAAAATTTTAGACCAACCATATCACAAAGTCCCATCCAACATATAATGCCACACCACTCACAAGATGATAATACTTATGAACAAATTATTGAACAGCCCCATACCACCGCTTTTCAATCTCAAAATAATAATTTTTTTAGCCCACGATGAGCCGACAACTTGGATCCCTACACCGATCAAATTCCCATCCAACCAACCTCACCACTCCAATCCAAATAATACCACTTTTTGCTTTTCCGCCACCCGATTTCCCCACCAGTAATGTAACATCCGGCATGAATTCCGATACTAATTCACACATCTCAGTTTTATACTCCATCTCACAACTCAATAACCCGAATATTGAAACCCCCGATGAATTTGCCGACTCAGAACCATCCCCATCCAATAATTTTCATAACCCTTCTAATTTTTCTCAACCTCCTTTTCAACCCATATTGTCCAATAACCCTGACCCAATCACTTCCACACCCTCTTATGCTTCCCAAGTTACCCCAACCTACTCCTCACACCATTCTGACCAATCATCTCATTCTCCAGACACACCCCGAATCTCCCCAGAGCTAGATAATTTTATTACCCTCCAACAACAACCCTACCACCTTAACACCCCGACCATAAACCAAATCTCCTCCACTACAAATTCATCCAATCCCCCTACACCCTCTTCAAATTATACTGAATCATTAACACCATCATCCACATCCACTATATCTTCACTAAACACTAATAGAGCTTACCGCACTTTTAAAAGAAAATTCCCCAACCATCCTTTCCCAGCAAAACCAGGAACAGCCCGTGAATACATCAGCCACCCCCAGCATACTAACACTAAAGAATTTTTAGCTATCACTTTACCCTCATTTCCACAATACACCTTAAACACCCCTCACGACGCTAACGAAACACGCAACTTTGTAGATGAATACGTTTTAATGCCCACTCTCTCTTGGACCTCATACTATCATTTCACTAACCCTCTTTGCTTACCTTTATCCAGCACTTCCATCGATATAGAACGAAACAAAGACATGCTATATCGACTAACTACACCACTAATCGCTAGACAGTTTACTTACGTTGGATATAAAAAATCACTAAAAATACACACTGCACCAAGAGCTAATGAATATACACTAGAATACTACGATCACAACATCATCAGAGCTAACCAAGATCAATTCTTAGACGACGATCGCTTCGCTAATCCACAAATCACCGAGAAATTTTTCATCAAGACACCATATGTATTTACACTAAACATCTTCGACCGAAAGTTTGATCACATTATTTCAGAAGCACTAACAAACACACAAGCATACGAAAGTTTTAAAGAACGCTTCCAAATCTTTTCACTAACCTTTCATTTCCTTGCACCACACGAAAGAGATCTGCACTGCTCACACGATATTATGTTGCGCACTAAACAAACCCACACATACAGTAACTATCGTTTCATCCAAAATCACTTTGACCTCCACACACCCTCTAGACAACCACACCATCGTTTTCAATTCATCAATTCAAAATACACTTCACCGTATTTCCTAAATTTCACATATTGTATTAAAGACACTAACCTCCATGGTATTCTTCGTAATTATGACCCCATAACCCAAATGTACATTTTCTGCCCCATCACCAAGACCTTCAACGCCGAAGAATCCCGACCCTTCCTTATCCCGCACGAGTTTGTACAGCCTATAGAAATCCCAATTTTAGAATTCATCCACAACACTAAATTTAATCACAAATTATATAACTTAATCCAAAACACACCTTATGAGTTTGCAGTAGGCACTGAAGAACTAACCACTATTAAGGCACTTCAATTGCTTTGGCCACTGCTTCAGACTAAAAATATCATCCGCATTCTAGCTAAACTACTAACAACTTCAGAACTAATTCACGACATCTTCCCCCACGGTTTTTTCCCCGACGACTAACAGGTAAGTATGAATTAAGTAAATATTACTAACTAATTACAGTATTAAAAACTCACCAGTCTTTATTCATGTTTTCCTTAGATTTTTAGCTTTCATCCGACAATCACCTACAAAAACCACAAAAGAAACAATAAAAATCACAATTTTCATCAAACAATTTTAAAATTCTATTAATCTCTTACACTTATAAATTTCTAAATTTAATATCAATGCAGTAAATTCATCTATAATATTTTCCCCCAAAGCAGTAAATCTAATTATGATGAAAATTTGTATCTTAATATTCCCCCATGACTAGCAGTAAATTTCTAAATTCTATGTAGTAAATTAAATAAATGCAAATGCAGTACTAACCTTTTGATATTTTCATTCATTCGCACAGAAATTCTATCCACACTCGCACAGCTCGCCCACGAAGAATTGTTTAAAATAATGAATTTCAGTTTCAAGTTTTCACACTCAACAACTCTAACATAAAATAACATGTTTCAAATTTTCCTTTAACCCGGTTGGAAAGGAATCATATACTAAACAAAACTAACCAACGCAGCTCACTAAATACCACAAATCATAGAATAACAGCATGACTTAGAAAAAGAAACCAACGGTACCCAAACCGGATTAACCCAGTTTAAAACTGGATAATTTATTCTTTTGAAGACTATTACAAAGTCTTAGAAAGAAATAATAAAACACAAAAAAGTCGAAAGACAAACCCATACCACAAACAATTTGCTTTTTGGAAAAAGTACATAACCAACAAGACATAAGTAAGACCACAACAAACCCAACATAAAACGTTGTCACATAACAGGACCCCTCACAAAAACCGCATGAAATCATACTCCCACTCCTGGCCTAACCCACCAGGAAGGACGTCCTGAGCATGCTCTATAGCCGGCCTAACCCACCGCGCTACATCCACGCTTTGTGACCACACCTCTATTTTTAATAAGAGCTACTCAAGGGTGAGTAACTCTTCAAAATAACCGAACTAAAACAAAAAGCTTTTGTGAAAACCACTAACTAAAATCATTATTAAAAAATATTAAACTAATAAAAGTTTTATAAAATGTAAAATCACATGATGCAATATATAGATCAGAATACAACACCAAGGACGAACATCAAAAGACAAGACGACCCCACTACACTCGAGAGAGAATGACCAACTACAATCGATATGCCGCTCACAACCACAACTCAAAGGATTTAGAGTACGACTTGACCTCGCAGAAAAGGACTTCATTGAACTAGACCAATGACCACCTCGATGTTCAAGTATACGTACAGATCCGAGTAACCAGGCATCCCCTCCACGCACAATCTCCACGCCATTCCCAAGCTAGATCAGACACAAAAGAAGTTCTCCACGAAGAACAGAAAAACCTGACATAGCCAACCATTCTGAAATCAGATTTGAGTTTGTTGCGAAGACTTAGTCGTTGTCACAAGAAGAACACAACGTCTTATGTCTCTAACTCCAGCTTCCTGGAACTTCCCTAACAAAAGAGGAAACGGAAGAAAATTATGATGTTCGCCAAAAACAAACGTCCATCATCCATCCTTCGAATTGCAGAAGAACTATTCTAAAAAACTCTGTAAAACCCGGATGGGTGGAACCTGATCTAAACTACATTTTATGATTGGATAATTTAGATATTTTACCAATGTAAAGTATTTAATATTAACCAATCATGATCCATCTAACTAACAACCCACTTATTTGTAAGTGCTGAAGTTACTTGTAATTTCAGCACCAGAGAGATTTAAATTTAACTTAGAAATTAGTTGGACTCTCCCGAGCACTTCAGCAGCCGCAATAAACCAGTATACCCTAGATCTATTGAGCCTAGCAGAGACTAGTTAAACAACCTGAGACTAGATAGTATAAGAGTAAGATTAGGATCGGTATTAGACTAAGAAGTTGCACGAATCTATCCGGCCGAAAATAAGATAGCGTGACGAGCAGACGGTGTACCCTATCCGAAATTACTCTATGAGTTATACATACCAGTCCTAACTCAGATTGTCGCTGGGCTGCTTATTTTACTTCAGTTGAATCCAAGATAGGTTATAGATCAAAATTTGACCAAAGATACATCGGGGAAAATTTTGGAAAAAGTTAGTCTAATTTTGTTTCCATCTTCCTGATTGGATAGAGAGACTGTGTTTCAGCTACTGTCTGTGGATAACTGTGGTGCACTCTACCTATCTGCAGCTAGACAACCCCTTCGAGGAGAGTGGACCCACTCTGAAGAAACTATACCACATATTCTGGTACTACTGGCCAATTTCATTGTACTGATCGACTTCATTGTATTTTTTGCAAAAAATGAGAAAAAGTGTGAACAATTTTTTCGAAAAAAAAAACAAAAAAAAACCAGCTTGGCAACCTTGTGAGAGCTCAAACCATATCATGCAAATTATGAGTCCAATCAATATCACGAATTAGGGGCCTTGAGGTTCAATAACGGCTCAAACATAATTGATTCAAACAATGCATAGGACTTTTTATACCAAATTGTATCAATGATACTGAAAAAAAGTTTAAATTTTCAATTTATTTGCTATTTTTTTGTTCATTTTTCCAGGTACGAGGCTCCCTCTCTATACATCATAACGTGGCTGTACATTCTAGTGGTAGTCTCCACCTCAATTCTCTACTCTTGTTTGGCCTACATGCTCTTGAAACAGACCAAATCTATCGCAGGTCACGAAATACTTCTCTTTTTATTCAATTTCAATCCAATTAGATTTTATTATGCGTTTAAAAAAGTTGTTTAAAACACTTTCTCAAAACCCTAAAATGTAAAGTCTAGCCACCATTCCAATGTTTTTATCGTAAATTTTATAGGAAATTATGTTTAGACACACTGTTTATGAAAAGGTCTGGTGGTTTTTGGCGCAAAACATGCACTTCGCCGCCAATAGGAGATGTTTTATGCAATTTTGGCCGTCGGTTTTCTGCAAAAAGCTTTCAACTTGAAGGATTTCCGGCTTTAAAGGTTCCTGATTGACTGCACTGGAGTTCCATGAATCATACTCGACGATACTGTCATTTTATTATAGTCAGTATCTATAAAATTACAAAAATAATTGATTGTAATCCATCAAAATGGATTATAATCCGGGTAATTTTTTTATCAATAAAATCTATTGCAATCAGATTTAATCTCTTATAATCCAATAAAAATGGATTATAATCATACCATTTTTGAAAATCATTATAATTCATTATAATAGATAATAATCGATTATAATGTATTTCTTGAGAAAATTTGAATTTTGCAAATTTTCTCAAAGTTATCTCATTTCTTGCTTCGGGCAGTTCCTACGTATTATGTTCCATAGACTTTTACTTTTCACCTAGAATTTTTTCAGTTTAAGTTTTCTCTACTTTTTCTATACTACGTAAATTCCATCGCCTCTTTTAACAACCCCCTTGCCCAGTTTACCCCCCTCCCAGTTTTCCCCTCGTCAGTTTACCCCGCCCCCTCTCCCTCCCCCGTCCTGTTTACCCCGTCCTCAGCTGACCTACCCCCCTATCTTAGTTTAACCCCTTCCCCCATGACTGAACGTTGGCGTGAGCGAGGTTAAAAAACGGGGGGGGGGGTTAAAATGGAGAATGGGGGTAAATAGGTGTTGTTCACACTGAGTTACCCCCCCTCCTTCGTCCCCGTTCAATGATGAATAAACAGTGAAGGTTTAAACTGTAACTTCTGGGGATTGAATTTGGGGTAAGCTTCAGTAAACATGGAGCTGGGCGTAGTGATAAACATAGGGAAGTGAGGGGGAGGGGTATTCGGCAAATGCGGATTGGGGCGAAGTGAACGGGAAGGTTAATTTGAGTAGGTTTAGGTTGAGCATAGGCCGTGGGTAAAGCAGAATTGTTGCAAGTTTTGCAAACGATTGTGCAAAATAATGTAAAGTTATAATCAATTATAGTGGATTTTATATGGGTTATAATATTCCGTTACAATGGACCTTAATCTATTGTGTTTTTACGAAATAATCGATTATAGTGAAAGTATAATCGATTTTGTGGTCTAACTTTGCAACAAGACCGGATTATAACGAAAAAATTTTAGACAACATTTTTTCATTATCATCAATTACTATCCATGGAACTTCGGTGAAGAGGAACTTGCCAAAAAACTGCTGAAAAACTGAAAATTTTGTTCTAAAAATTTAATTGAAAGAAAAATTTTGCTTAAAAGTTGTTTCCTTTTTGCTTAAACATTGTTTGTTAAGCTGCTGCTTATTGAAACAACCAAGTTATGACGTGGCATACCAACCACATGGCGGAAAGTTTGATTTTTTTTGTAGTCGTTAAAAGCTTTTTTTATGTAAATGACGGCATCAATTCGAGACGCAAGCACACTGAGGTTGTTTTTTTTTCAAATGACTGAAAGCAAAAATAAAAAGGTGTTATAGCTGCTAAAAATTTTCCGGGTATAATTAAAAGTAGTGGTACGTATACGAACTAGGTCGAGTTGCTCGATTTACGATTCGACTTTTTCGAACAAAAACTGTTATGTTTCGACTGTTTTGACCAAATTTCGGTTTGTTTTGATTTTTTTTGACCAAAATTTGGTATGTTTCGACTTTCTCGACCAAGTGTTGCTAAGTGTTGACATTCGTAGTGTTCGACTGAATCATAATCGAATATAGTGTCATTTTATAGTCAGTATCTATAAAGTTATAAAAAATAATCGATTGTAATTCATCAAAAATGGATTATAACTCTAGGTTTTTTCTACATCAATAAAAACCATTGCAATCAGATTTAATTCATTTCAACCCATTGAAAGTTGATATTAATCATATAATTTTTTGAAAATCATTAAAAACTTTTATAATGGATTATAATCGATTATAATGTATTTTTTGAGAAATTTTGAATTTTGTAATTTTTTTCAAAGTTATCTCATCTCTTGCTTGGGAAAGTTGCTACGTATTACGTTCCATAAATTTTAATTTTTCATCTAAATTTTTTTATTTAAGTTTTCTCTACTTTTTCTATACTACGTTAATTCCATCGCCTCTTTTAACAACACTTCCCCAGTTTACCCCTCCAAGTTTACCCCTCGTCAGTTTACCCCGCCCCATCCTGTTTACCCCGTCCTCGGCTGACCTACCCCACCCTATTTTAGTTTAACCCGCTCCCCCTGACTGAACTTTGGCCTGTTTGGGTTAAAAAATGGGGGGGAGTGGAACAAAAAACTTGGGTGAGGGGGTTAAAATGGAGAATGGGGGTAAATAGGTAATGTTCACACTGAGTAACCCCTCCGTTCCCGTACAATGGTAAGTTTACTGTGGGGGTCAAACTGTAACTTGGGGGGATTGGGTTTGGGGTAAGCTTTAGTAAACATGGGGGTGGGCGTAGGGATAAACGTAGGGGAGTTGGGGGAGGGGTATTGGGCAAATGCGGATGGGGGACAAAGTGAGGGAGAAGGGTCAAATTGAGAAGTTTTAGATTGCTGTTGGTAACGCAGAAAGGTCGCAAGTTTCGCAAAAGTTTTTGCAAAATCCTAAAATTTATAATCATATATCGTGGATTTTGAATGGATTAAAATAATCTATTATAAAGGACTTTAATGTAATATGTTTGTACGAAAATAAACGATTATAGTGACAAAATTTTGCAACAATAATGAATTATAAGGAAAACTTTTTAGACAACAATTTTTTGTTCCAATTGATTACTATCCATGAAACTCCGGTGGAGATCAACTTGCCAAAACATAGCTGAAAAAACCGAAAAATGTTTATTAAAATAAAAAAAATCAATAATAAATTTTTCTTACAAACCGTTTCCTCTTTGCTTTTGCATTGTCTGTTAAGCTGTTGCTTATCAAAACATCCAAGTGGCGGAAAATTTGCTTTTTTTGTAGTCGTGAAACGTTTGTTTTTATGAAAATGACGGCATCAATTCGAGACGCATGCACACTGAGGTTGTTCTTTTTGAAATGACTGAAAGAGAAATTAAAAAGGTGCTCTAGCTGCTAAAACGTTTTCCGAGTTTAACTAAAAGTAATGGAACGTATACAAACCAGGTCGAGGTGCTCGATTTATGATTCGACTTTTTCGACTAAAAGCTGTTATGTTTCGACCGTTTTGTCCAATTTTCGTTTTGTTTTGATTTTTTTGACCAAAATTTGGTATGTTTCGACTTTCTCTCCCAAGTATTGCTAGGTTTCGACATTCTCGGCGCAACGAATTTAGTGTTCGACTTTTTCGACGCTCGCCTGTCTAGACTGACATTTGAAAATGGGTAAGTGTGGCCGCTCTAATCTCCAAACGAAAATAAGTGAATCCGAATTCGTAAATTAATAAGATATTTATCGGTAAATCAGATATTTATCGGTAAATAACTCAGGCAATAGATAAATTTCGGTATTTTTCTATTGATCAGGACATCATACAACATTTTTAGCATCTCTCCGTTGTTGGTACAAAACGGCGCAAGCTAGCTACAAGAACCGGTCGGTAATGTCCTTGAGACAAATTGCTCTTTTTGGCGGTCAACCCTAATCAAGGCTGAACCGAATTAGAACCAAAAAACAGTTAAAATAGGATGTAACCCCCGTTTTTAGTATATTAATACATGGGCAGGTGGGGGACTCGAACCTACGTCAACTGTTATTTCACACATATAATCGGCGTTAGCTTACTTTGTCTTAGTCCGCTTGGCCAACTGTGCTTATTTTATATGCATCTATACTCTTGTTTTATTCTACATTTGCATTGCAACATCCTCCCTCCCCTGAAGAAGGAAGAACCGGAGCGAGCTTAACGGTCGGCCGCGTGACTTCACGGGTTGCGGTCCTGACAAGGGCGGATCGGGCGCAACCGTCCTGTCCGTAGTTTAGCTTGACGATTTGGGCGAGAGGGTAGTACCCACGCGGACTATCGGGCTCAATCACCCACACGAGATCGCCTGTTTTAAGAGTGAAGTCAGAATGAGTGTGCCACTTGACACGCTTATTCAGCGAGGGAACATATTCTCGAAGCCAACGAGACCAAATCGCGTTAGCATATGACTGCGCTCGCACGTACCTTTTTTTGTGATCGAAGTGCTCCCCGGGTAAAAGCGAAGGAAAGCTTGTGGCATGTTGTCCAAGCAAAAAATGGTTTGGGGTTAACGCTTCTAACTCAGGTGAATCGGTACTAACGGGAGTGATTGGCCTCGAATTCAAAGCCTGTTCAACTAAGCAGAGTGTTGTTCCTAACACCTCGTCAGTGACTCGCCTACTGCCTAGGATATCGTACAGCACGCGCTTCACGCTTCGGACGAGGCGTTCCCAGGAGCCGCCATGATGGGGTGCGCCTGGCGGGTTAAATTTCCAAGTAACACCTTTATGTGCAAAAATGGTCGGAGCCATGCCATTCCAGCTCTTGATGCAGGCAAGTAATTCCTTTTCCGCACCAACGAAGTTCGTGCCATTATCCGACCAGATTGTGCTTGGCGTACCACGGCGCGCAACGAACCGTTCAATGCCCATGACACACGAACTGGTGTCCAGAGATGGTACAATCTCAAGGTGTACAGCCCTGGTGGTGAGGCAAGTAAAAAGGAATCCCCATCTTTTTTCCGTGCTTCTGCGAACCGGAACGTAAAGCGGTCCAAAGTAATCCACACCCGTATGATTGAAGGGTGGTTGCTTGTATCCGAGACGTTCGACCGGTAAATCGGACATAATTGGCTGG